GAATAAAACTTATAAAATTTTAACCATAGGATCTTGACTTTGATTTTAAAATATTACAAGGTAAAGACACATAATATAAGCTTTGTGCAATTATACAACCTATGTTAATTACATTGAACGGTCTTTTAGATGTATTTTTCAAAGTAATACATTAAATAATAGACATTATAAGAAAAATTCAAGATTAGTTAAATACAATGTTCAATCTAGTAAATTTTCTTAGTACGTTTTAAATTAATTAATAGAGAATAATAGTACAAGTTATTAGATATATTATCAACTAAAAACAAAGTTTATTTTAGAGAATTGTTATGTGGACACCTCCCTTTTACTGCACAGACACCTTCTTCCACACATTCTCACATATACACAATAATATAATTGTTATTCACACATTGATTTTGTTTTTTGTATTTAGATATTGTGTTTGTTAAAAATACAAGTATCTTTAAAATTTATAAAACATAAAATATATTTATTTATTTTCTAAAAATTTATATGAATGGCTTTAACTATGGCGGTCAAGTCTGTAAGGAGTGTCCATGCAGTAAATGGGAAATATCCACCTAGTAGCAATAATGGGACGTCTATTTAGAAGAATTTGGACTCTATTCAGATGATTGATGTAGTATTTTGTAACAAATATTGATATTTTTTTATTGCTCTAACATGTTCAGTTTCAACATGTCTTTCATTCATATTGTTGATTTTATGGCCACAAACATTTTATAATATATTGGCTTTTGTATTATCAAAGAAAAAACAAATTTGATTTTATGTAAGCCATAGAATAGGTTTGCAGCACCTTCAGAGATGAAAAAGAATTATGGGTGATAGTCATAGGAAAAAAAAGTAGTATTGATGGAAGCTAACAAAGAGGTTTTTGAAAACACCATAAGTTGGGGAAAAAAATAATAAAATAAAAATAAAAATGTTGTGGATAGAGTTATTAACCTTAAAGAAACATGGGTTCCATATTAGGCTCAATTTGTTTTTGCATGGACAACAAAGGTGATACAATCTGGACATTTGATCACTTCTTGTGTGGAAAGAAATCACTTGGTTATGAGGAATGGATTGCAATATCAATTAGGGACTTAAAGCACGTTTACAACAAAATTGTTTTATTTCTTAAATGTCAAGGTTGTATCATATGTCATGGAATTACAAACAAATCTATTAAAGTTTTGTTCTTACTTCCTAATCCTCTTTGGTGCCTTTTTAATTTTTAAATCTCCTACTATATTGTGCATAAGGTACTTGAAGAAATTTTAAAAAAAGCAGTCACATGGTGGATGACTAGACAATCTAGGATTGTACTAGTTTCTTGCAAATAACAATTGATCTTCTATATTTCTAGGAACTAAAGAGATTTTGAGATATTAACAAATTTCTCTTTTTTAATTATTTTTACCAACTTTGGTGGTCGAAACCAACCTCATCAAATGCAAAAATATCACACAATCCAAGCTTAGAAGATATGCTATTACAAAATGTAGCATTCTATGAAGAACTCTTATCACATCAACAATTGCTTTTAAAGCAATGGATTCAAAACCTTTTACAAACAAAATAAAATGTAGTAAAATCACAAATTGTATGCACAAGAAGAAGACGTATTGGTAGTATGGCTACTTTTTCCACTTTAAGCACATAATACGTATCTTTTGCATTTGAGTTTATAGAGAATAAAATATATATATATATATATATATTTTTATTTATATAGTGGAGAGTATACAAAAATTAGTTATGATAAGTACAATTCTTTATAATTTTTCAAAGGGGTGCTAATGTGATAAGAAAGATGTGTTTACATAGTAACAATGGAGTGTCCAAGCAATAAAAGAGAAGTTCCTACCTTGGAGTTCCCTTCTTTTGTTATAATTTAATAATATGTTGTATTTTTTATTTGAATGCTTCTTACAATATCAAAATAAAATAAATAGAGTTTGTTTAATGTATAAGACAAGCAAATATATCTAAGATATTGTTAGGTAATAGAAAGTATATAATATTTTTTTAAATAAATAATAAAAAATCAAAACAACTTCAATAATGTAGTGAGACAAAGTAGAATTCCAAAAAGTAATATATATGAATAGAATAGAAGATAAATAAAAATTTAATTCAATTGTGAAATATATATTTATATATATATATATAAGAATAAGAACAAAAAATATAAATATAGTAAAAAAAATTACTAAGCCAACTATTCATTGTTTATGACACATTTATATATAAATCTCCAAACAAATGTCAAACTCAATAAGAAAAAACAAGATATAATTTCATATTAATAAAAAAATCAAATTATTGATTTAGTATCAAAGACAATAGTGAAAAGTAATATCATTCAATATATTAGAATAAGTTGCAAAGCTGGACACCATAGAATAGTATTAGATTATAAGAGGATTCATGTTATTCACAACACAAGTTCAATGTTTACACCTATCACATATAATACCTTAACAAAACATAACAAAGAAATCAAAGGAAACATGATTAATATTACAGCACCAAGTTGCAATTTAGCAATTAGCTAATTAAACATCAACAACTACTAAAAATAAATAAACAATAACAATAGATCTATATAGGTGGTGCTATCCACAACAAAGTAAGTTATGCACAACCAATCAATACAAGAACAAACTTACATTGTTGCAATGTGCTTCACTATTGCATTGTATGTTATTGCACTTGTGATCTCAAATTGTGTTGCTGCAAGCGGTGTAATATATTCTATTGCTACGCTTCCAATGCACAAGCAAAGGGTTCTTGCTCGTCCGCCTGGCGTTCACTTGTTGCAGCGTGTGTGTCGCTGTTATCCTCGGCTGCTCCACCATCTCTCACAAATAGAATCTGACGCGCATCTCGCTCTTCTGCAACTTCACTCTGAGAGACTGTCCTCACGATATAGCTCTCCCTCGATGTCCACACACACTCAGACGCACGCGTTGGTACTGCAGCTGAGCTGCAGTTCCATTATGTAGGGCCTACCGCAAGCTTCGGGCAAACAACATTTCCAAGTCTTCGCCGCTCGTGCAGGCACAGGGCGGAGGTGGAGTCGCATCCCATGTTGCCCTTGGCTTCGCATCATTGCTCTTCGACGCTGCTGCCGTTAGGGCGCATTCTATAATTGCGAGAACAGTATGATTGCCAATCGCAATCTTAGATCCGAACAGGCGAGATCTAACTTATTCGCGAAGTCTTATCTCTCATCTTTGGAGAATGCCAGTCCATCAATCTCCATCTCTTGAAGTCATTGCGACAGATCCGCGTTGAAAGAGTCCTTGTGGTGAGATGCTCTGCATCATATCTCCCATTAATCCGAAGCATGTTGATCTAATTTCTCTCTCCCTCGCCCACCCACTCAAATGCATCAAAACAAAATCCTTCTTAGATTTTCTTGCAAATGTTGCCTGGCTTTGCAACACATTTGTTTAAGTTCAATTACTATCTTATGTTTAGCAAAAATTACAATGTACATACAATTTATAAGTTATTCACATGAAACATGTATTCTGATTTTTTATGACATTGCTCAATGAATGTATGTGAGAATGTCTTTGAAGAATGATGAATCCTTGATTAAAAACAAGTACCCATCTATATTTGTTGATGCTTTGCATGGTTCCACATCTGACTTGTGGCATATACTAGCACGTATGCATGTATGTACACACTCAACTATGCCGTGCACAGTTATATTTAAAAGAGAAAGAAAAAGAGAGAAAATGATGAAGAGTGGAATGGGTGCAGTGGGGGCCATTCGCATGCACTGATCGTGCAGGGAAAGATTCCCTTCCCCAGGGATTTGATTCCCGCTCCAGCATGGCACTGGAAAAAAAGAGGCGCCATTAATCACTCCCCTGGCCTGGTCCAGTCAGTAAGACCCACTGCTGCATGTCCACACACTGTGCTTATGTTTAGCTTTTCCTTTTAAAGCCAGAATCTCCACCTTTGCCTTTTCCACGTGGGCGGGGCCACAAAGTAAAAGTTTACGATTGCTACAGAAAAAAGTTAAAATTTCGCATGTCATTCGTACTAAGCTATCCTTAATTATTATTAATTTTTATAAAAAAAGAAACAAACTATGTTTTGTTTAAACGATTTATCTACTGATAATGTGGCTATTGTTGCATTTGTATTAAATGATAATTTTTTTTATTGGGTGCTGTCATTTAATTTAACATTTCGTCTTCAAACAGATTGAAAGCATCATGGAACTGTACATTTATAATTACCCTTCTACGCTCTCAGCTTCCAATAAATTACATTCACTTGGGCAAGGATTTCGCATCCATTTTCTTTAATAATTTTTTTTAACTTCGATATATCCTACCATCCACGTCCTGTATTTCAATCATCACCACAGTTATTATTCTTACTTCAAGTAACACGATATCTGCATGAAAATAAAAATAAATCACAAATATTGCTTTTTATTTTGCAATGAAGTATAAAACTCAGCAGAAATTAAAATCGGTGATCACATTTTTGCACAGTGTTTGTTTTGTTTTGTTTATTTGTTTATTTGTTTATTTGTTTTTTTTCCCATAATAATGTATCATATCTATAATTTAATGAACTATTTTTCTTAAAAAAATAAGTAACAGGTTTTACCTCTTGTTCTAAAAAGTAACTGTCATCGATAATTCAATTTGTGATCACGTATTCTAGACAATCAGCCGGAGATATTAGAATTTTAACAATGTTTTTTTTAAAAAAAAAAAAAGAAAAACCTTAAATAACAATTATTATTATCAAATTGTCTCAAAATCCCATCAGTTTGCAGAGACTGTTTAATCAACATTACTTGAGAGGCATGTTATCTTGAAAGCACAAAATGGTAATGTAGTGATCATCTTTGATCAATGCAAATCAACCATGGAATTGTTGTTAATCCAATCAAATTGTGAATTCTTTCAATCATCTAGTCTCAAGAAGTGCTACAATGTCTTGAACTGCAGTTTGAGAGATCATTTAATAAATAAAAACGTACGTATTATATATTTATAAAAACTTTAGAATAGTTAAATAATTCTTCAAAAACTTATCACTCGCAAATCGAAGGAGTGATGTTGCCACTAGCACCTGGCCGCTTGGCTTGAGCATTTCCCCTCAAACGCATGTATTGATGCTGCTACTTACCTGCTGACTAAGTGCCAAGTCTAAAGCCTTCAACCGTCTCAGAAGTGCTTGCATGTCGTCAAGCAATTCCTACAGATTGTGACGTGGTTGATATGATCGGGTTTGTAAAGTGTGGCTCTAGAAATGTGCTTCTGCGGATTTCAGCACATCTGTGCTACAAATCCACACCAGTAATGCTTTACCCTGCTTCTTCGTGACGAGGATGTGTGGTTGTATAATGCCTCGGAGAAGTGTTGCAACCTCACTGACGAGCTTTTAATCGTTAATGGAACGCACACTGGACGATTCTGCATATTCAGTTCTTAATTTGATTTACACTGCAACAGAAGCTCGACTGAGCAAACTTGGCACGGTCATGGTGTCGCAGGCAACAGAGTTTGAAGCCTCACGGCACAAGCTACGGTAGGAAAGCAATGTGATGGAGGGTGCAAGGCCGTGCCAAACATCAGCATCTTCATTCGACTAGTGCAAGGTCAATACTAAAACTTAAATTTAGAAGGATGCGTCAGGTCGTGAAATGCTCCCCAGACCAAACTTGAGAATATCCGTGATTTGCTACTGAGGTGTGGTTCATTCTTGATGGCGTACAATTTGTGAGCGCTTTGATTTCTTGCGGAATTGTTTCTTGATTTGAGGCTTCGAGCATCAAGTTACGCTTGCAGGAGCTGCCTGAGAGCCAACAAACGCTGTTTGACTCGGCGTCTTAGACAAATCCGCAGTGAAAAGTTCGTTCGGAGGTTACGAAACATGCCAGATTCTGAGAATCCTTCGCTTCTCCAAGAAACAGTTCCTCGAGAACGCATTGGCGGTCCAGTCCGAGCGCTCCACACAATTTCAAGGATTTCAAAATATTGGTCCATTCTGGAGCATATTCGCAATATGCATCATGTACCAGGTGATGGCTTTCCTCCCTAGTGTTCTCTAATTTTGTAATGCTAAACAAGGAATATGATGGGAAAAACGTATGAAGATAAGTGTGAGAACAACCGACCTAGCTCTCCGTCTTCCATGAACTTCCCCCAGTGACTGTTCACCCTCGAATCAATGCCGCAGCCTTCTCGGCGATGATTAGTCACCGTGTGCCATGAGCCCACACGCATACAACCCACACACGAACGCACATAGACTCTCCTTTCACCGGAACATTCAGGATGCTGAAGGAACGGCCCCAGAGTTCCCAGGCAATTCATGACCAACGTAGCAAAGAGAGTCACTTTTCAGCCAATAATTGGTTGTGATGGTAGGAGTTTTCTGGCCGTCGATTAGTTTAATTTGTTCACAGGGTAATAAGACCGTATAATCCCATCAAATAGTGAGGTCAGCTAACCCCTGATTACAGGCAACGTCAGAAATAGTAACACGGTTTTAGTTCACGCCATTGACAACAGGATATACTACCTCACAAATATAACTCTTTAAATTAGAAACAAAAAAAAGTGAATTGAAACAGAACAACTACCATGGATGGCGATGGCAGCACGAAAGTTCGAAATAATTAAATCCTCCTGGAAAACTTCAACTCGGTTTCGAACATAAGAAGCAAAATGTTAGTGAAAAGAGTATTCGTCTAGACAGAGCAGTTCCACTTTGTGAAGGTTTGGGTTCTTAAAGACAGTGATAACTCTTTCTTGGACAAGTCTCTCAAGTCTATGAATAAATGCAACGATATCTAGATATTAGGGTGGGAGGGGATGGGCCCTTGGCTGTCTCCCCTCCTCCTGCAATTTAGGGTTACCTGGGGTTTAGGAAGTGGTGGGGGGTGGAAGCCGAGTCAAGGTGGAGTTGAAAAAGGTTGGAAGCTTCTAGGTCTTCCGTCAGGGGGAAGGGACGGGTGAAGAATTTGACTGTAAAATCGTCGACGGAACTTCCAGGCTTCTTTCTATTTACGCGGGGTTTGAGTCGTAGCCGCGGGTGGGGATCCGTTGCTAAATCCCGGGGATGAGTATCATCGGATGCGGCGACCGGAGGACAGGAAGGTGTAGGGGCCAAGGACTGGAGGACGGCAGTCGAATCGGGGAACGGGAAGGGCCGAAGGCGGGGGAAAGGCGACGCATTATTTTGCGGGGGCTGACAAATGGCAACAAAAGTGGGGGTGCAGGGGCCTGGGTAGGGACGTGCAAAAGGTGCCTCTCGCCATAGCCAGTGAATTTGACAAGCTATGACTCATTTGGATCCAGGGATGCACATGGATGCATGCTTGCGAGGGTGCATCGATGTTACCTTGGGATAAACCGAGGGTTTAGGGCGGAGTGTGTGTGTGACGATGTTGGCGTAACGATGCCGAAGGTGCGAGCGAGGGCGTGAGTGATGATCCGCGAGGTGGTGGCCCAGGCCATGGAGTAGGTTTCGCGCAGGGACGGAGGTTTGCGGCCCCCTATGGGCGGAGGCGTGGGTAACCGTTTTAGGCTGGAGGACGTTGTTGTTGTAGATGTCAGGAGTGTGATCTTGAAGGCGTGTTTTCGACCACGAGCGTTGTGAGGGTTTGCTTGGCGGGTGTGCCGACTGCTGTTTGAGTGAGTAGCGACGATGATGATGACATTGCAGAATCACGTGAGGCAACAGCCAGGCGTGGCGATGATGACCTTGCAAAACGCCATGAGGCCTCAGCCAGGTCAATCGATGCTTCTTCGAGACCCTGTGAAAATGGAATCTGGTGATCAATTTGGTCATTCTTTCTCGCGTTCGGAGACATTCCCCTCGACATCATCCTCTGCTGGCTACGAGGGTGTTGAAAGTGAGTTTGTGTGATCTTTTGATCTCCCAGAGGCGTATCTAAATTGACGACTCTCCTTTCTCCTGTCATATCCTACTGAAATGACGTGTCCATTTTTTTTTAGAAGTCTTGTCCACTAGTAACTAAGGCGATTGTCCTCCTGAACCTGTGTAAGTAGATGATGTAGTCGGATAGGTTTGTTCAAACCTTTTCATGTTGGAAGAGTTCCACGATGTCCTTGTCATCAAAGCGTGTATCCTAATGGAGCACGGTACTGATCTAACTTCGCATGTAATCAGTTCAAGCGGATGAAGATGTGATGTTGGCGGGAGCACATCAGGAATACAAAGCCGGTAATTACAAGAATGCATTACAGCATTGCTTGGTGGTCCATAACAAGAACCCTCAACGCACGGATGCTTTGCTGTTATTGGGAGCTATTTACTATCAGGTACTCTACCTTTCACTCATTGGTGTCATTGGATGATTCTCATATGAAGCCTGCCGGTCGCACGGCTAGTATCTCGCAATTCGGTACATAGTATGAGTTTGAGGTCTCCTAGTTGCCTTTACTGTTATCAATCCAAGTCTTGATACCCTCAGTATTGACGAATTTGTGCTTCACCAGCTACACGATTTCGATATGTGCATTGCAAAGAATGAAGAAGCCATACGGATCGAACCTCAATTTGCTGAGTGTTACGGCAACATGGCGAATGCGTTGAAGGTGCTTTTCTTTGTCGTTGTCACCATTCTGCTGTGATTTGGCTGTGTTTTGCTTACCATATCTTTGTTATCATCACCTTTAGACGCTTATTAAGCAGTGACATGTTGGTAACATTGCATATATCCTGACGTATGGTTTGTCTTATTTTATGCAGGAGAAGGGTAACATTGATCTTGCAATTCAATACTATTCAGTTGCAATTGAGGTACTCTTCATCTCCAGGCTTAACTTAGTTTTAATGATCGAAATATTTGCACCTCGCAGATAATTATTTTTTTGATATCAAATGTTAACACATTTAACACGTGGGGATAGAAAATCCACCGATCGTCCAATTTTCATTCTAGGGTGCTTGTCGAAACTTTATTTCTTGTAGCAAGAGATTCTCACGAATCGCACGATACCCATGAACTCTATCATGTTGAAGTGCCATTTGCAGGGTGTTGTGAATAAGCTACTTGGGTTCTCGTGATCGTATTGTAACAGTAGGTGCATAAGTCATTCACGTTCCTATGGTTGTTTTGAAACAGTTGAAACCCAATTTTTGTGATGCATGGTCGAATTTAGCAAGTGCTTATATGAGGAAGGGAAGGCTGCAAGAAGCTGCTGAGTGCTGTCAACATGCTCTCACACTGAACCCGCGGCTGGTGAGATTTCGGAACAATACTGTGATGGTCATTTTGGAACAATATTGTCATTGTTAGATGTTGATATACCTAGTAAAGTTTTGTTTTGCTCTGTGTTGTGGTGTTTTTTCCTGGCTGTGGCAGTACATTTTTAATTATTTGCCGAATGTAAAGCTGAGTCAAATCCTTCCACATGTGGATCGATTTTATCTCTTTCTTTAATCGAAGTACTGCCATCAGGCCCTTTAATAGGGCGTATGCCTGTCACATATACAATGCGGCTGACACTTTCGTTTTTGACTTAGGTTGATGCCCACAGCAACTTGGGAAATCTTTTAAAGGCTCAAGGCCTAACTCATCATGTGATTCTCTAATCTTTGTCTAGTATATTCCAGCTGTTAGTAGATTACTTTTCAATCCATTGATTGGCTCCAGAAAGTTTCTATGTCTGTTTTTCAAGTGAAACAAATCCGTGGAGTTGTGTCCTGTTAATTGTGAACACTTAAGAATCTTCTTCTTAACTTTACTGCATATTTCACTTCTCATTTAATGTATAAATTAATATGCTTCCTACTGTTCCAGGCATATCTTTGCTATGTGGAGGCTATTCGACTCCAACCTACATTTGCTATTGCATGGTCAAATCTCGCGGGCTTGCTTATGGAGGCAGGAGAACTGCAGAAAGCTTTAGCATATTACAAGGTTTGTTTACAACCCTACAACCGTAAGTCCAGGTTATGTCTGGCATCCCCTTTTCCGAGGTGATTGGATTTCAAGTTTTCAACCCGGGACTCATCGAAGCAGAAGAACAGCAGTTGCCATTTTATTAGTTCGTATCTCAGGTTTTGCTCAATTGCTACCGAATTAACATAAACCTGTGTAAACCTACCTCTACGTTGAAGTCTTTTCTCGCAGCCCACTTTTGATCAGTCTAGGGTTTGGGAGATGTTGAAACCCGTCGGAACCAATCTTTCCAAGTCGGATTGGCATTGCGTCGATATATATGTACACTATCCATTGATTTCCAAGTTTAAATTTTTTATTGCTTCGTACAGTTGGTTGATGTGGGCTTTTAACGCACTCGAATTTTAATTCTCTACTCTAAGAATCTCGAGTAGAATGTAGAGACACTGAATCTAAACCTGATCGTAGATAATTTTGATTGGCGATAACTGCGTGTAGTATATAAAACATTCAATTTTCAAGCTCAATTCTACAGGTGTATATCCAATTATTAGCTTTTTTCCATTTGAAAGGAATGTTCATAACAGGTGGGACGTTCATTTCGACCTAAATTTTGGATCGAGTGTTTCGCTTAGACGTTAACCATGGTCTGTGAGTAGCAAAAATTACACTTGTGGCGAGTAATCTAAAAAGCAGATGTTTTGAGATTTATGTTATTGGAAAGTACTTCGGTTATTGTGACAGAAATTTAGTGACTAGGCTTGAGTGATGCTTATGCTCGTCGATTTCATTCTGAACCATCTGGCATAGATAATGGATGGGTGGAAGTGTATTCAATGGCAATATCATCGTTTTAGAGTTAATGGAAACAGTAGTTGATTCTGTACTGGAAGTTTGCAATATATCTTTGAACTCGACTTTGTTAATGAGGTGTGTTTTTGTTAAATAGGAAGCCATCCGTCTGAAGCCTAATTTTGCTGATGCCCATCTCAACCTTGGGAATGTGTTGAAGGTATCCTATCATTTATTAAGACTTATCGTGCTGGATGTTCTGTGTAGTTACTTGTTTTTTTGTTCATTTTAAGTTCGATTTTTGAAGTCTTTTATATTTTTTTGTTCCAGGCTTAAATACTTGTCGCTTTCCTTTCAGTCTTGTTGCGAATTGGATAGAGTTATATACTTCAGATACAATCATAAGGGTTGCAAAGAACAACGTGCTATGTAATGGATTTATGGACGAAACTTACTATGCCCTTCTCATGTAGGCAATTGGTAGGCATCAGGAGGCAATCTCATGTTACAATCGATCCATCCAGCTGCGACCAGATTACGCAATTGCATATGGTAAGAATGAAAACCATGGGACTTAATGAGTGTTCTGGTAATCGATGTCGACAAGGCCTTACTCCTTACTTGAAGAAAAATCCGCGAGTCGGGAGTAAGCGCCGTTATTACGAGAGGCTTTCAACTCTTCGGTGTGGTTTGTGCATGACGATCATTTAATATCGAAATCGAAACTGTGCATGTTGTGCCGGCTTAGGCGTGCCTAATCTAGTACAACATGCACGCGGCACACACATTGGTTTTCCTCGGGGCACGCATTTGTACAGCATTGGCTTTGCATACATTTGTTGTGTTGGTTTTGGTATTTGACCTGACTGACACAACATGAGCATTCCGGGCTTCACGTACTTGCAATTTTATGCCTCAATTTTTCAGAAAATACTGTGGAAGAATCCCCGATTTTAAGTTAACTTACAAAGTATGCCTGCATTCTGGATCTTTTACATGATCATTTGCGTGGTTTGTCAAATCCTGAAATTTGATGATTGTTAATTGGGTGCTGACTTCAGAAGTAATTCACCCTCCAGTTTGTGAGTTGTGGAACTGCCAAGATAGACATCAACATCAACAGGAGCATGGAATTCAAGACCTAGTTATTTTAAGAATTTGTTCACGAGAATGGGCTGGTTGGATGATTTTGGTTCTTGTGGTGGGGAGCTTTCATTTGGTTGATGGACCTTTAGCTGTGTCTGACAGTCTGCCATTTGCGTGGTCTGTGGGTTGTCTTTCTTTATATATAGTTCCCCTGATGGCGCCAGCTCAAGACAAAGTCATGGGACTTCCAACCCCTCTTATTACGAGGATAGAATTTGAAGAGAATTTGATGGTCCATATAGCAATATCATCTTTCTTATTCAGTTGCTCTATGAGAAAAGCTCAACGCTACGGTGACTTAATGTCGTCTTGAAGTCTTTGTAACATCCATACGACCTCTACCTTTGTGGGACTGCCATTTTTTCAACTTGTGCTTCTCATAAGTAAAACTTTACCGTGTTGCTGCTCCGAACTACTGTCTTGAGTAAGAACTGCACGCGGCACTACTTTGTGGGAGACGCACAGGTGCAGCAGTTTGTGGTTGGTGGTGATGGAAATAATCTAAATGTCTAAACCACCTCGACATCACTCTCAAGTTGGAAAGACCTTATCAGAGCCTTTGGTGGCATCTAGAGGTGTAGGTCACGGGATATGCTGCATACATAGCTTGGTTCTGATTTTGGGTGCAGGGAATCTTGCAAGCGTGTACTACGAGCAAGGGCTTCTTGATTATGCCATTCTCTACTACAAGCAAGCTCTTCTACTTGATTCCTCTTTCATAGAGGCTTACAATAACTTGGTATGTAGTTCCGTGTTATTTGTATCTTTTTCCATGGAATGTGGTTCTAAAAGCTGAAAGATATTGAATTCATGAATAGTTTCGTACGTGTATTTAAAATCTTTAGATTTGAGTTCGTGTCTGGAGTTACCTTGCTTCTGATGTCAGTTGTGGGCTTTACTCTGTGCAGGGTAACGCGTTAAAGGATGCAGGGCGAGTGGAGGAATCAATTTCGTGCTACGAGGTAATGCCGAGAATTTCATTCTCAGTGCATTGTTCTTGTTATAACTACGCGGCACCTGTGCCTTCCTCATATAGATGTCCTTGAACTTCTTATGATGTGTATCGTCATTGCTTACAGAATTGCCTTCAACTTCAGAATAATCATCCGCAGGCGCTTACAAATCTTGGTAATATTTATATGGAGTGGTAAGTCTCAGTTTTGAGTGATAATGTAGGATAAATAGGAGACGGATGCTCATTTTTTATGCTAATTAGATTGTACCGATCAGTGGTTATTTGACAACTGAGGCTTTTTGTAAACTTTTAGAAATGCTTTGTTGAATTCGATATGGTTCCCTCTTGTGACTGGAAATTCCTAAATCGTTCTTTTCATGTCTAATGCGCTGCAGGAACATGATAAGTACCGCAGCAACATTTTATAAAGCAACGCTGAGCGTTACAACTGGTCTCTCTGCTCCTTACAGCAATCTGGCTACGATATACAAGCAACAGGTTCTTATTCAGTCGGCTGTTTGTTCTATTAGATTCACTTTAAGTTAAGTAGCAAGTTTGTTAGGTTATGTCACATAAGTACAAAACAATTAAGTAGCAATTATGTCAAGTTAAGTAACATTTATTTATTTACTTTTTAGCTTTTATTTATTTCTTATAAACCTCAAATCCTGAAAACCTGCAAAATATTGAGAATTTGTTTTTTCAATTTCTGACCATCATCTTATTGTGCCTGGACTGAATATTACGTTTCTCACTTTTTTTTTTTTTTTTTTTTTTTTTTTTTTTTTATAAATTTATTGTACCTGAACAGGGCAATTATGCAGATGCTATTGCTTGTTACAATGAGGTCATGAGGGTAGATCCCATGGCTGCGGATGGGCTGGTGAACCGAGGAAATACGCTGAAAGAGATTGGTCGGGTCAGCGAGGCCATTCAGGATTATATCCGTGCTGTAGCCATACGGCCTACGATGGCGGAGGCACATGCGAATCTTGCCTCCGCGTACAAGGACAGGTTGATACTGTGCCTAATTTGTGCGAGTTGCCTGTGGCTTGTGATTTTGTGCGTTTAGTTTGAATCTCCGTCTGTTTTGTCATGCTGTAGTGAAAACATCCTCAGAATATGAGCGGTACTTGTGTATTGGTTTGCTCCTCTTATTTATGGTTATTCCTTTGATGATTGAGCAGTGGGCATGTGGAAGCTGCTATTAAAAGCTACAAGCAGGCACTATTCCTCCGTGCAGACTTTCCAGAGGCAACTTGCAACTTGCTTCACACCCTTCAGGTATGCTTGAATGTAATTCTTAGTAATGTGGTTACATACTGAAGTACTTTTATTTGTTTAAATGAGAAGAAGCTTGCCGTATAATGTGATAATTGACTCCTTAAGAATCCCTCTTACTATTCTTTCTTTTGTGACCATTTGAACTGCCATCAAGAACTTAAATGATCAAAATGTGTTGCAGTGTGTGTGCGACTGGGAGGACCGTGATAAGAAGTTCACTGAAATTGAGGCTGTTGTACGACGACAGATCAAGGTGTGTGTTATGAATTTCATCATCGCTTTCAGACTGAGGACTCATGGCTTTACGTACCGATTAGTTCTGAATCTTGAATTAGTTCGTGTGGACTCTTTCTGATAAAATCGAAATTGTTATGTGAGCATATAGAGCAATAATTTGTCTAATTTATTTGGTTGTGAAAGATGAAGCAGGTCATAAATCCCCTAAATTTGTAAGGGTTGTGTTCAGAGGCCTGAGTCCATCTTTTGAAGGACAGATTGCTTATTGTGACACCTGCATACATATTTGCAAGCATTGGGTTAGTTTTATGTTGTTTCGTTACTTGAAAGTAGGTCCAAGTGGATTTGCATGCGTGGAGGAGATGCTGCGCTGACATTCAATTGTATTTTGCGTGGTTGGTGGTGCAGATGCGACTCCTACCAAGTGTTCAGCCCTTCCATGCGATTGCGTACCCGATTGATCCAATGCTTGCCTTGGAGATCAGGTATGTTGTGCCTGGATTTTGATTCAATATTATTTTTACAAACATGACGATTCCATCTTTGTTGTCCCATAGGTGCGAATTACAAAGTTTTTCTTCGTCTGTAGTGAATTTTTCGGTCGTTCAGTTCTGAACTCGCTGTTGTACCTATTTTTGCAGCCAAGTTCTGTTGCCTTGGTGGCATTTATTTATTGTAAAGGGTTATGTAGAGGAAACACTGAAAGTAATAGATCAGGTTTCTTTGTGATTGTGTCGAGGTTCAATTGGGATTTATGGTGAATGAGTTTATGCTCATCTAGACAATTTTGGGTCCGGTTGCAGCCGAAAATATGCAGAACATTGCTCGTTGATAGCATCAAGATACGGTGTACAGTCATTTTCTCACCCAGTTGCTATTCCGGTGAAAAGTGGAGGTGGCAGTGGTCGCCTCCGGATTGGGTAAGGATCTTTCCTGAGAAATATTGAAGTTGTGTTCCGAATGTTAATACTGGACACGGTTTCGCTATATTTATTTTCTTGGAAATGTTTTATCGTTTTCATACAATTTCAAACTTATGTCTCTCACTCTTGATGTGGCAGATATGTGAGTAGTGACTTTGGAAACCATCCTCTGTCACATCTCATGGGTTCTGTATTTGGGATGCACAATCGTGAGCATGTGGAGGTGAGTAACAATAGACCAGCCTTTATTTAATTCTCTCATTCTGGAGCTCTTGTATGAAACTAGGATTACTGATTTGCTGCTGCGACTTATGGCATCTATGTGCTAGCTATACAGGAGGAAACGATATGTTCTATTTTCACTGGGTGTTTATCCATCATATTTCTACCAATCGTGGTGTAGATTTCTGATTTGATGCGCATTTCAGGTATTCTGCTATGCTCTGAGCCCAAGTGATGGGAGCGAGTGGAGGCAGAGGATTTCTGTCGAAGCTGAACATTTTACAGATGTTTCTGCAATGGCGTCTGATGCCATTGCCCAACTGATTGATAATAACCAGATTCAAATTCTCATCAATCTCAACGGTTACACAAAGGTATGTCCACTAAACTGAGAACCATTGACATGATGAGTTTCTTGCTGATGCTATTGCGTGAGCTTTTCGAGATCTCTGATGAGTTCTTACACTAACCTTTTTAGTTTGCTTTGCGTTCTTTCAGTAGTACAATGTCTATGTGAGTTTTCACTAACCGCATGCTCACGTGTTTTAGGGAGCCAGAAATGAGATTTTTGCAATGAGACCAGCTCCGATCCAGGTGTCATATATGGGGTTTCCCGGAACTACTGGCGCAGATTACATCGATTATCTAGTAACTGACGAAGTGCGCACTCTATTCGCTTCTGTTGCAAATGAAGTGTTCAATTTATTCTGACATGTTTGGGTTTTTTTTTTTTTTTTTTTTTTTTGCTCGGTATGAGATTAGGGCATATTGATTAATTAGAGGGATTCTCTTTACAAGGTGCATTCGTTCTTTGTTTTGTTTGTAGCTTGTTTCCCCACTCGAATATGCTCACATCTATTCGGAGAAAATCGTTCACCTACCACATTGTTACTTCGTCAACGACTATAAGCAGGTTGGTTGGACCCTTCGACACACTACTTTCACTATTTTTGTCAACAAGGTATTTAGGTTATAGTTTATAGTGCCATGATATTCTGAGCTGGAATGTAGGGGGTTGTCATCACATTTTCTCATGAGATGCTGGTTGTGGTTGTGAACTATGCAGCGCAACCGTGATGTTTTGGATCCTTCCATTCATATGAAGCGTTCGGATTATGGCTTACCTGAAGACAAGTTTCTGTTTGCGTGTTTTAATCAGTTGTACAAGATGGATCCCGAAATTTTTTCCACATGGTACGTATTTTAATGTGCCTCCTGTATTACAAACTGAATTTAATCTGAATTAAACCCCATCACCTAAAGCTCTAAATCGGTCCACTTAAGGCTCTTACTCTTCATGAAAGGAACTTATCTATCACTAGTTAACATAATAATTATATCAACGACAATTGACATTTATAAAGAAATAAATAACGTGTGCTTTCGTGAGGTAAAAGGATCATTTGTGTTAATTTTATGTGGCTACTACGGTTCATTTGTGCTCCTATGTGCCACATTTTCAGCTCTCAAATGTGAAAAAAAATGGATATCAGTGATGGCCACGTTTGTGGAGAGCTTTTGGAAATCGAAATGTGAGTGGAAAGTTTGATTCGCAGTTTTACTTCACGGTTGTAAGAGCCTAATGAACGAATTAATGTGAATGGTTGCAAAACTTTGAGGACTTATACTTGTCGGTCAATGGCTGCGTAAGACAATCTGCCGGATTCAGGGTTTCTTACCCACTTGTCACGTGCTTGAGAATGAAATTCGATTGTCCTGTAAACATATATATTCTGTATGTGCACTTATTGTTTATGATTTCTGCATGTACTCATCGAAAATATCCTTCAATGTTCAGGTGCCGAATCTTAAAACGTGTCCCTAATAGTGCCTTGTGGCTTCTGCGTTTTCCGGCTGCTGGAGAAACCCGCCTTAAAGCCTGTAAGTCGCTGTGCTATCCATAAACCTCTTACAACTGCCTCTTTGTGCGTCATTAATTTTTACATAAAATTCATTGTTCTGTGTAGCGTGTGTTAAGGACGTAATGCCTTTATTTTACACTATTCTGCAGATGTTTCAGTCTAAACCTTGTCTGTATTGATCTCAGTTGTGTCCTTGGGAATAGCACTTGAGGTTTTAATACGTTGCCCTCCTATTGTAGTTGCAATTGCACAAGGAGTGAGACCCGATCAGATTATTTTTACTGATGTGGCTGCGAAGAATGAGCACATCAGACGAAGTGGCCTTGCCGACCTTTTTCTGGACTCGTATGTGGCAATTCGCATAATTATTTTCATGTTCTTTGCTCTGGAATGTGCCGTTCTGCACTGCACTTTCTTCGCGCTATCATTTCTAGTGAGCAAACAGTATTCATAAAAATTCTCCAGGCATTTGTTTTGTAGTAACATTCAGAACGTCTTAAACTGTTGCAGACCACTTTGCAATGCTCATACGACTGGAACAGATGTTCTGTGGGCTGGACTGCCTATGGTTACGCTTCCACTTGAAAAGATGGCAACACGAGTAGCTATGTCTCTGTGTTATGCAGCTGGTTTTGGTGAAGAGATGGTCGTGAGCAGGTATTGTTTTTTGCAACTTTAGCAGATGAAATCTGATTTCCAGCACCGTCAGTTTTCAATTTTGTGTTTCGTTAATGAACATGTTGGGTATGTGCAGTATGCAAGAATATGAAGAGAGAGCAGTGATGCTGGCTACAACACCTGCCATTCTGAAGACCTTGACCGCAAATCTTCGAGCATCCCGACTTTCCTCTCCCTTGTTTGACACCATTCGATGGGTAAAAATAAAACTAGGTTTCTATGTTTTGTATTGAAAGTTGATATGAAGGTTCAGTCTGATGTTCATGGGGTGAGTGCGATTATTGCATCAGCTTACTCTACATTTATTGGTTTTATTTCTCAGAAGTTGAGCATCATGGTCAGCATCGTAACTGATGTGCAGGTTCGCAATTTTGAGAGGTCGTTTTTCAAGATGTGGAACTTATACTGCAGTGGCGCACACCCACAACCATTCAAAGTTTTCGAGGATGATGTGCAATTTCCAAATAACCAATAACAGTGAATCATGTTGGAAAGTCCTGTTAGATATTGATCAGACATGGGATTGTCTTATTTTTTTTAGCGTTGGAGCTAGGTCAAGTCGCATATAGTTTAGGACTTAAATGCCAGTGTCTTAATACCTACGTGACACTGAATTTCTGACTTCTATAACGTGGGTTGTTTGTGCAAGCTCTGGTTGATGATTTCCGAATTGCAGTTGTTCGGGAAGTGTTGGTTTAGTTTCAAGTTCTGTGCATCTCACAGTAGCTCGATATTAGATGGAAATTTTAAGTTGTACATACAACTGTGAGGAATTATATAGCTCATGACTTGGAACTATTCGAAGTGCGAGTTTACAATGGTGCATGCATGTGCCTTGTATACCATTCAAGTATGAACCTCGAGTTTTAAGTTCTCTTCTTGACTCTCATAATAGTCAAGCCGAAGTGCACTACGATGTGCACAATTTTTTTTCGCTTTTTCAATGGTGCTTATTATGTTTTCATACTATTCCTTTTCTATAATGGTCGCAAGAGCTATTTATACCCACGCTTTTCTTATGAAGTTGTGTCATTTAGTATTGCTTGAATCTTCAGTGGAGAGCGCCTGATTCAGGTTGCGACATTCCTTTTATACTGTTTTACATACTTCCGGAGTTTGAATTTGTGCTGTAGGGAAAAGTAGCAAGCTTCACTAACCATCTCTTCCTGCCTGAAGTTGCAGTTAGGCTTCCCTGAACCTTTCCGATGATCTCACGTTATTTTTTAATTCAAAGAGTGAAACTGAAACCTTAAGTCGTAGCGATTAAGCTTTTGTGTATCTTGTCCTCCCAGTCAGCAGGACTATTCATCGGCGGAGACGATCAGTATGCAGTGCTCGAGAGTACCTGCTACCAGTAGTCGCTAACCTCTCAAAAACATTATGCACTAATATTCCACAATGATCCCGTACGCATTCCCAACATTTTGGGGAGAGAACGGGCTTTTTACATTAGCCACCTTGATTGCGGTGCTTCATCCTGCAATGTTGTGTGTACGGCTGCCTTGTGATTATGCTTGTCGAGGAAGCCATCTGCTCCTTTCCGTAACCTGCAGAAATTTTTTCTTGTCAGAGGCTACATCATCTGAAGTAATCTGAACCAAAGGTTTCCTCGACAGGCACAATAATTTCGGATCACGATTGGTACGGCCACTACGACTCTTTTGTGAAACGAGAATAGGGCACATTCTCGGACATGGGGTCGAGAATACAGCTTCAGGGCTTCTATCACCACTGCGGAAAATGCGAATTGTTCCGCACCTCTGTTCATGAGTCAAGGTTCTCATAAACATTCTTAGTGAGCACTCCGTTTTATGTTTCCAAAATATTTCTAGCTCACTCGCACGTCGTGTCGAACTTAGTTCCTACTGTGGGCACACAGTGGAGGAACGGGAGACTCTTTGCTCCGGAGGTGACAGCTGATTAAACCTTGGGGAAGAGAATGTGGGATCGGCAGTTACAGAACCCAACATATTCGCTTACGACTGTTTGTGGATGCTCCCTGGGCATAGTTAGCGGCTCGTGATGCGTGCATGAGGGATGTCCTAGGTGCTCAGAGGAGAAGTCATTCCCCACTGTCCCCAGTGGAGTTTTGCCAATCAAGATGGAGCCGCAGGTTCCTGGATGGCAGCCGATGACACACTCTTGGACCCCCCCCCCCCCCACCACCTCATACGCATTGGGCTTCTTGGATGATGATAGTGAAATAGAAGTGCTCACCCAGTATTCATTTGTGTGATAAAACCCCAATCTATCCATAACAGAAGAAATACTAGAAGAAATTCATTGTGAATGATACATTGATTTCATAAATAGATTCAAACACAAGTACGGCCTCCCTCTATCACGTAAATAGTAAATTAAACAAATAAGTAAATAAGGCCTACTGCAACAAGAAGGATTTTTAAACTTCAAATTCAGTGAAATTGAACAATGCAGGTTTGCTTGCATTGTGCCCATGTTAATATAAGAAAAAAATCATATGGTTTCAATGACTTAAAACAAGGAACTCTCTGGAGGGAGGGGGGGGGTGCAGGGTGTGAGAAAAATAAAAGAAAAACTTTTCACCTCTAAAATTGGTATATCATATTAGTGTATCATGATAACATGCAAAGTTATAAATAAATTCATAATGTTTTTCACGAATAAAATTGATGATTATGAGACCTTCAATTTATTACCATTAAAAAAAAATTTGTACATCTCCCAAACACTTCTTACTCAGCCTATCATCATTGGTACAATTATGCACTAACCACTTCATTTCATAATCCACATGTTTATCAACGTGAAAATAACGCATGATTGATCACTTCATCCAATGACAAAGTTCAAAAAAATTTAACATCAATCTCCTCAAATCCGTCACTCTTGTTTAATTTTAAGCTGCACCGTTTTGAGGTTTCTTTCACATTCACACCAACGAATATCGTCTTCTAATTCATTCATCACACAATCATGGATGAATTGTACCGCCATCCATGTAAACCACTGCCCTAGTCACGGTCCCATTCTTCCCACAGCAACCCATTTCCGCGCACGGAAGTAGATGCACCACCACTGCCCGTGGAAATCAGAACACTTGCGCCTCTGAGGCGTTGCTTAATGGAGACGAGCGCTGATGCCCGCTGGTCTGGTGCGCACGCAGCCTCCGCGTTTCCTGTATGCATGCCTCCTTTCTTTCCCCCTTCTCCCTTCCGATCCTGCGCTTGCTACAGCGTTCTTCTTCCTCTCCGCTTCAGTCGCTGAACGGTGGACGTGTTTTCTTTCAGTTGTAGGAAGCCTCGGTTTTAGCTGATTTCGCAAGGAAACCTAGCTTACCTGCAGCATTATGAACCATTGCGGAAATTGGTGTAGCGGAGCAGTGTGGGTGCAATCTGTTAGGGTTGACGCTTGGTCGAGTTCGCTGGTTGCGTTGAGAAAGCTGTAATTTTTTCAACAATACTTCGAAGGTGATCTGATTCCAGGGGGGAGTGTGTTTATTTATTTATTTTGATTTATTTTAGTAGAGGGGATTGTAGACCTGTTCGCTATGGGGAACCCGAGCGGAAGCACGATGCATGAGCCGAAAAACATTCTCATCACGGGCGCTGCTGGGTTCATCGCCTCCCATGTCGCCAACCGGTTGATCCGAAATTACCCACATTACAAGATCGTGGTGCTGGACAAGCTCGACTATTGCTCGAATTTGAAGAATCTGTTTCCTTCCAAGGGCTCCAAGAACTTCAAGTTTGTCAAGGGCGACATCGCCAGTGCAGATCTGGTGAACTTTCTGCTGATCACTGAGGGGATCGACACCATCATGCACTTCGCCGCGCAGACGCACGTAGACAACTCGTTCGGCAACAGCTTTGAGTTTACGAAGAACAACATTTACGGGACACACGTGCTGCTGGAGGCGTGCAAAGTGACGGGCCAGATCAAGAGGTTCATCCATGTGAGCACGGACGAGGTGTATGGGGAGACGGAAGTGGAGGCCATTGTGGGCAACCATGAGGCGTCACAGCTGCTGCCCACGAACCCATATTCTGCAACGAAGGCGGGTGCGGAGATGTTGGTGATGGCGTACGCGAAGAGCTACGGCCTGCCCTGCATCACGACCCGGGGGAACAACGTGTACGGGCCGAACCAGTTTCCGGAGAAGCTGATTCCGAAGTTCATCCTGCTGGCAATGCAAGGGAAGGCGCTGCCGATCCACGGCGATGGCTCCAACGTGCGGAGCTACCTTTACTGCGAGGACGTAGCAGAGGCGTTCGAGTGCGTGCTCCACAAGGGCGAGGTGGGTCACGTGTACAACATCGGGACGAAGAAGGAGAGGCGGGTGATCGATGTGGCGAAGGATGTCTGCGAACTGTTCAACCTGGACTACAAGAAGTCGATCAAGATGGTGGATAATCGGCCGTTCAACGACCAGCGTTATTTTCTGGACGACAAGAAGCTGATTGCGCTGGGATGGCAGGAGAGGACCAGCTGGGCGGAAGGACTGCGGAAGACGAAGGATTGGTACATGAGCAATCCGGACTGGTGGGGCGATGTATCTGGCGCTTTGGTGCCGCATCCCCGAGCGTTGACGATGCCTGGGTTGGAAAAACTGGCTGAGATGCAGAGGGGAGAGTCTTTGGGTCAGTCCGACGATGCTGCCGATCTTGTAGAGGAGAGTGGGTCAGCGTTGTCGAATGGGTGGGGACCGGGTTTGGTGAAAAGTGTGGTTTCCAAGGTAGTGTCTCCAGTGAAGCATGCTTCGAGAGATCCGAGTCTGAAGTTTTTGTTATACGGGCGGACTGGTTGGCTGGGTGGATTGCTGGGGAAAATGTGTGAGGAACGGGGGATCGCTTACAAGTATGGCTCAGGACGATTGGAAAACAGGAGCTCGCTGGAGGCGGACATAGCCGCAGTAAAGCCGACGCATGTTTTTAATGCAGCTGGGGTGACTGGGCGGCCAAATGTTGATTGGTGCGAGAGCCACAAGGTGGAGACGATCCGGGCGAACGTTGTTGGTACGTTGACCCTGGCAGACGTGTGCAAGCAGAATGGGTTGCTGCTGATGAATTATGCGACGGGTTGCATATTCGAGTACGATGAGAAGCACCCACTGGGTAGCGGGGTGGGATTCAAGGAGGAGGACACGCCAAACTTCGCAGGTTCTTACTACTCGAAGACAAAGGCCATGGTGGAGGATTTGCTGAAGGAGTTCGATAACGTGTGCACATTGCGGGTGCGGATGCCGATTTCATCAGACTTGCAGAACCCTCGCAACTTCATTTCCAAGATCGTTCGTTACCAGAAGATAGTGAACATTCCGAACAGCATGACAATACTGGACGAGCTGCTGCCGATATCGATCGAGATGGCGAAGAGGAACTTGACAGGGATCTGGAACTTCACAAACCCAGGTGTGGTGAGCCACAATGAGATCATGGATATGTACAAGGAGTACATTGATCCGTCGCTGACGTGGGAGAACTTCACGCTGGAGGAGCAAGCGAAGGTAATTGTGGCGGCGCGGAGCAACAACGAGATGGATGCTTCGAAGCTGTTATCAGAGTTTCCAGAGATGCTGGGGATAAAGGAGTCATTGAAGAAGTTTGTGTTCGAGCCCAATAGGAAAACTGTCGCCAAGTAGGCTGTTTTGAGAGTTTGAACGTAACGGTGGCCTTGGTCTTGTTACTCAGAGCAGATTTGTGGAATTTCTCAAGCACTGTTAGAGTTGCTTGATTTTGAGCTGCACATTTATTGACTTTCGTGATACAGGTGGCCACGGAGTTGCTGTAGGTTTCGTTTTAGTCCAAAGAACATTAATGGAAATTTACGGAATCCTGGTTTAGTTTGGGGATATTTTTGATTGTAGGTGATTCTTTAAATAAGGCACATGTGGGTGTAAAGAATTGTTTGCGCAATAAATATGAGTCTCGGACATTTCCTAGCTTCCCTCGTATATTTGAGCATGAATTGTGTATTTTGAATGTACACTGTACTGTGGGACGTTCTGCACTAGTCCACAGGACCGTACATTCATGACTTGTGTATTATGGTTGGGTGGTGTCCGTCCGTCTCTGCCTGCCTGGCATGACCATGCTAGGTGTTGCGGAATGCTAGCAGCAGAGGATTACATTTCTCGAGAGTGCCAACCAGCAGTAGATGAGCAGTTTTCTCAGATGAAAATCCTATTTGAGGCTGCTAACGCAGTTCGGGTCTGCAAGTTGGAGCAAGCGTTGCTACCGAATTTAAAATCTACAAAAAATGAAGACTTTGCGGGATTTTGTTCCTGTGTTTTGACGGGTCAAAATCAGGAACGTACACACGAGCAGAAGGGGAGAGTCTTTCTTCATTAGACATCAGCACTTCGATTCCTTCAGAACTCGATCTGTCAATGTACAACCTGTCCATACACAGATTGTGTTCAATATCTATTACTTCCTGGCTTTTATTTTGTCAGGTCAATTATTTCTTTCTTGCAACTAATGTTACACTCAGGCCTTAAACTGGTTTTGGTTGTCTGCAACTGTGCCACCAAACAGATATCTTAGAGATGCATAGGAATGTCCATACTTCTCAAAGCACACTGTCAGGCCGAAACACCTCAATCCTTTCTCATGGCTGCTGACATAGATAGACATAACGTAACCAATGCCAGGGTTAAACACTTGGAGAGCTCAAAAGCATTCCAATGAAAATGGACAGAAGAGAAGCATCCAGCCCAGCCACTTGTTAACAACTGCAATCCTTTCAGGGATGTGAAGTGATTGCCGAGGTTTTGAATCTTAATTCAAAAGTTAAAGAGAAAAAACACCCGCGGGTACAAACAATAATTGGATTCTCTACACCTTGCATCATACGCTAAGTCTCTACCATGGCCTTCGCTTTAGAGGCTGATGTTGGAAGCAATGTCTTTGCCCACTTTCCTAACAATTCTCGAAGGTCAGCGTCCATACGAGTTCCTACCCCGCCCCAAACCAACATGTGTGCGAAATCCCGCACTGAATCGCCGGTCACCTCGTGCACAGGCTTCCACCCTAATCTACTGTAATACCGCACTAATTTTCTGTGATATTCGTCGGAATCATTGATGGCAAGGAGCTCCCCTTTGTCACAAGCGCTGTCAATACCGAAGCGGACCATCAAAGCTCCCATGTAAACAGCTGCCCCAAAAATGGTCCGCCCGCTACGAGTTGCACTAGCTTTCGTCAATCGGATGCTGTCCAAATGCAGAATGTTGCCATCTATCCATGGTTTGATGAAACCATCCGCAGTGCCCAAATTCTCCCCTGTCTCAACATCTATCGCCGTCACAACGAAGAGCAGGCCAGCCGTCACTTTGATGGCCAACAACAGCCCCTTCTCCTTCGCCGCTGCAATAATCTCCTCCTGCGTGGGGAGGGAGTCCTCAACCCTATCTCCCGTCGCGCTTACCGCTCGCACCACTTTTCCCCTGCAGCAGGACCTTCTCATAGCTCCCCAATTCTGCCCACCTTGTCTAGTAAACCCCGAGATGGAATGCCTCATAATCAAATCATCTCCCAAACTTGCCGTTCGCTGCGTGAAACATACATTACAAGAGGAATTTCTAGAATTTGTGTCCAAAGTGGAGAAATTGCTACAAAGCGAGTGTACATAGCTCCCGTGAACGCAGGCTCGAGCCATGCGTGACTCGAAAACGGAGTGAAGAATTTCCTCCGTAAAGGTTTTAATAGCAAAATGACGACGCGCTAGACCTCTCCACAGCATTGCGAGACGCTTCACGTGGAGGTTTTGGAGACGACGAAGGGATGGAAGGATGAGAAGAGATGGGTTTGGTTCATCCTCACCCTCTCTCACTATTTCTGTCCATCCGAACTCTGTTCTGGAGAAAGGGGAGCATGTTGGGAAAGGGTGGTAATCCTCGTAACTCCTTCACCTCCAAGTTTAGAACTTGTTCCCAAAATATTATAATAGCTCTTACGTCTATTTTTTTATAGGGGTCTTAGTATCTAATTGATTATATTTGGTAAATTTCTTTTATGAGAAAATTCTATTAATTCTTTATTTTTCTATCTTTTAATAAAATAATTTTAAAAATAAATTATATCAATCCTTCATTATTCTAGTAGTAACTCTCTTCATGATTAAAAAAAAAAGAAAAGAAAAAAAAAAAGAAGATATTTGCTATGACACTACATCTTGCTACTTCATAAATGTCTTTGAATCTTATATAAATTCTTTAGTTGCAATCATATTTAACTTGCTAATCCTTTTATTGATAAGATTAGTTACTTTTGTATGAGCAATCTACATCTAGTCTTTTTCATTTTTTTAAGTCTTTTCTTCTTTACATATCATTTATCTTGTGTTACATGTGTTTAAGCAATTGCATCTTATATTGTGATGTAAGTCTATAAATTAATGATTAATTGGTGATGGTTGGAAAATGACTCTTAAAAGTATACATATTTGATTTATGATAGAAATTACACTTTATAAGCATGGTTGGAAAAAGCTAGTTAATAATTGTAAACATTTATGGATTATGTGAGACAAAAGTGGTTGTGGTGTTGTAATTATACCTTACAAAAGTTCCTAATAAAAATCTATAACTTAAGAATTATACCAAATCATATTTTATGAATAATTTTGTTATTATATTATTTTTTATTTTTTTCATAGTTTTATAATTGATAAAATTATTTAAAAATATATATTTGAAATAATATTTAAAAATAAATATATAATAGCAAAATTTTGAAGATTTATATTAAGTGGATTTTTTAATATAATTTTAAAGAAATATTTGATACAAACTAGTGGTTGTGATATTGTAATGTGAATAGTTTTATTATATGAAATTCAAGAAAAAATATTCAATTTAAAATAATAGATAATATTATATAATAGAAAAAAAGGAAAAGAAAAAAGAAATACATATATATATATATATATGTATAAATAAAGAAAATTTATAATAGAAAGCATACTTATCTTTCATACAATAATTTAAAAGATAGATTAAACATCTAATCAAAAAGCAATAATTTAGAAAATAACTTTAAAAAAAATTAAAAGCTTTAATATAAAAAGGCTAATAAAAAGAATATCAACTTCAAAGACTTTAAGGTATTATGTATAAAATCAATAACATTGTAAGAATATAAAATTTGGCCAACAAGATAACTATGATAGGACAAAACTTGTACATAAGTATTCAAAAGATAATATGTGTATTATAGATTTTTATTGGATAGAATACGTGTGCATTAAGATTCTTATAGTATACTTGAGTTTATAATATTGGGTGAATTTAAAAATAGGGATATATAAATAAATATGTTACAAAAAGAAATAATATGTCAAAAACTTAGTTGATAAATCCTCAAAATTTTGATCTTCTACCATCAAACTTCTCAAATTAGTCAATTTTTGGTTCTTTGACAATAGTGGTAATGCTTTTATGATGATCTTCTGTTAGAAAAGCTTCTAATATAGGTGTAGATGTTGTAGCTCCAATCATCTCTATATATTCATTTTTAATTAATATTGATGTTGCTTGTTGTGATGAAGTGAGTTGATGCATAACAAATACTACTTCTATAATTTGTTTTTGTATTTGTACTATTATATCATGCATATATGTAAATTTGGTCATTATTATACAATAGAAAAAAAAACGAAAAAACTTTTATCACTTATGGCAAGGGATAGTGAAGGATTAAAAATAAAAAAATAAAAAATATTTTAAAAAATATAAGTTTAAAAGTAAATAATTTAAAATATCTAATATGCTTATATCTTGTCAAAATAAAAAAAATAATCTACTTTTAATCAAAAAAGATAAAATTTTAATATTATAAGTTTATTCTTGTTGATTTGTTAAGGATAAGAACTTAAAGAATATAAATGAAAAAATAAAACATGTATAAAAAAGAGATGACTAAAAAATGTATGAGAAATTATATATATATATATATATATATATATATATATATATACATATATTTTTAAGAAATAATTGGATTGACTTCTATCAAGTATAAAAATACTAGAGACTCTTGAAACTTCAATAGAAGCAAAAAAGGAGTTTAAAAGAGTGAAGAAGGCCTCAATCTTACCTCCATATATACTTGTTACCAAGGAACAATGTAGCAATGCTTTATAGACCAAATAACATGTCTAATTCATAAGACTGATGTGTATCTTACAAGACATGTGTCTAACTTGTAGAATAAGTTTTTGATGTTTGCACAATATAGCTAACTTACAATACAAGTGGTCAACATGTGTAACATGTAACTAACTTATTGGACCAGCTTCTAACATATTAATCACCTACAAACATGTATAAAGTCAAATTTGCATCTACAAAGGTTCTAAAAAGCTTTCCAACAAGATATTAACAATCTAACTTACTTCTTTTAAACTCTACTATTTAACTAAGTAAATATATTAGTGCATATTGATGTTTGAGATAATAAATTATATTGCTTTGTTCACCTGTAATTTTTATCAAATTATTGATAATAATATATTTTTATATTAATATTATATACACAAGTGTGTGCATATATACTTACATATATGTACACACATACATACACATACATACATACATACATAGCTACATACATAGTATTTTATTATAAATTAAAATTTGACTTTAATATTTAATTTTTTTATTTGAATTCTTTAAAATTAAATATTATATGAAAAATTAATTAATTTTTATTCTCTACATGCATAAAAAAAATATATTATTTTTATATTATATTTAAAAATTTTAAATCTGATAATTTATATTAATTTTAGAATGATAAAATTTAAAAACATGTATAATTTTTTTTACCTTATTATTATAATTTTTTTAAAATAAAAAATTTAAATAAAAATTAAGTATTTACATGATTTTTAAAAAAATTTATCTTATTTTTTATTACTTTAAATAATAAAAAATTAAAATTTTAAATTATTTAATATTATTTTTTTTATATTTTTTATTTTAAATATTTTAATTGAATCAAATTATTTACAAACTTCAATAATAAAATGGATAATATTTTTATATCTAATCATATTACAATTTATTAATCTTATATTTTTATTTATTTCTATTTTTTAATATATATATATATATATATATATATATATATATAATAAATTAATAGAATTAAATATATTTTATATTGATTCTTAATAAAAAATTAAGTAATTAAGATTAAAATTATAAACATTAATTTTATTGTATGTACAAAAACAAAAGATCTGAATGTGTTTAAAAATGAGATGTAGAATGAGAGTATGATTAAGTAAAGGCAACACATAAGATTTGTATTTTGCATTAAGAGAATTAATTGGTAACATCATATTCTTTACTTTTTTACAACTTTCAATTGATATTAAGTGGAATGATGCTGCATTCATCAACCAATTTTTCTATAGATTATAATATGAGATAAAAAATTGATGCTAAATTTATAAGATCTTCAAATATTTAGTGAAGTAATTGACTTTGATATCAAGTGTGACAATAGGCTTGTTGGTCTTTGATTTGAAAGTTGTATAAGTAGCCTTCAACATTTTTATAATTCAATGGCAAGACAAATGTCTTTTCAAAACCAATATTTGAAAGTAGAAGACATATAAATTGGTGCAATATATTTTAAACCTACTATTGAGCAAGAAAAGACTTCACATTGTTAAGAATGATTGTACTTATACTGTAGAGAATCTAAGAATATTTCTTAATATCATTCAAATAAAGAACACATCTACAAAATAAAAAGCATATTTGATGAAGAAGATAATATGTTAGAAAATAGGTTTATCTAATTAAAATAGGTTTATCTAATTATGTAGCTAAAATCTTATATAATACTTAGTAAAGATGTTATTTTTTTTAGAATATTTTTATTTATTTTTATAATAGATATTTATTTAGGACCTAAAATCATAAAGTTTCTTTTTTTAGCTTCTTTTTCAGATGTAGACTTTGATGAAATATTTAAAATATCTTAAATAAAAAAAAATAAACTTATGCATGTAAATATTATAGATGGTTTTTTTTTTTTTTTTTTTTTTTACAATCAAGACTTTACAATCAAGACTAGGTACCTTCTATCTTTAATATTAAGAATCTCAATCAATTGAATCAAGAAAAAATCTGTATAAAAATAAATCTATAATGAGCATATAATCTAGTAGGCATTAAAGAGAGAAATGAATAAAAGATTGCACTTTGAACAAAGTATAGGCATTTTGAATACAATATTATGCCATTTGGACTTAAGAATATGCCTATCATTTTTTAATATCTAATACATATTATTTTAAATATTTTTTAGTTTATTTTATTTTATTTTATTTAAAAAATATTTTAATTTATTCTATAATCACAAAAGAGTATAAGCTTTATATTTATCTTCTGTTACAAAAACTTAAAGATATCTGATTATACACCAAGATTAAAAAGTATATATTTCACAAAACTTAAATTAATTTCTTAAAATATATCATTTGAAATAATAGCCTTATGATGAATTCTAATAAAATTAAAATTATTATAGAATAAAAGATTTTAAGTATAATAAAAATATCCAATAATTTCAGAAATTTTCTAATTATTATTAAAATTTTATTAAGATATATTTTTTAAATTATAATTCCACTTATATTTGACTTGTAAAGACAAACTTAAATAGAAAAAAAAAATTGAAGCAACATTTGAAGATTTTAAATCAACTTTTATTTCTATACTAATCTTATATTATATTAACTTTTCTAAAG